CTACTGAGAGAGAGGACCAAGGTGGGAAAGTCAGAAAAGGCTGCCCTCAGGGACCTCATACTGAATTAAGATCAGAAGGAAGAGTAGGTATTAATGAGGGGAGAATAGAGAGGGGTCAGTGGGACAAAGGCCCTGACCAGGATGCGGCAGGGAAGCAGGGAGAGGAGAAGGGTACTGTATTTGGAGTGCAGAGAACAGAGGGAGGCCAGGCAAGTGTGCAGCAGGAGAGCACATCAGGCTGGACTGCACACTGCACAGCGCTCTGTGATGGGGAACTCTGTCTTTATCCTAAAAACAAGTAGAAGCCAGTGAAAGATCAGAAGCACGGGTCTGGGGAGCTTCATGGTCAGGTTTGTCTCTAGAAGACCCCCACCCACCCCACACCGCCCCCCCACCAGCTGCAGTGTGAAGAACCCATTAGACAGGACAGCAGTGGCTGGAGAGAGACCAACGAGAAGGCTATCACAGTACTTCGGACAAGAAGGGAGATGGCCTATTGGGCTAGGGTGGCAAGAGGGAGAAGTAGACTGAATGATTGGAGGCATATTTGGGGATAAAATTGAAAGGATTTGCTGATAAATTAGACATTGACCGAGGGAGCAGAAAGTGCCAAAGACGACTTAAGCTCTCTGCCCGAGTAACAGAATGGACGGTGGTGCATTTTCTCAGATAGAGAAGAGGTTTGGGAGAGGGGATGAGTATGAAGAGTGGGTGCCATGAAAGCCATTCATCTTCACGAAAGCCACCAGTTACAATCCTTGGACATTTACAGGCTATGGAGTGCTGCAGAGTGAATGTTTGTGTCCCCCAAGTTCTTATGTTGAAATCCTAACCCCTGGTGTGATGGTATTAGGAGAGGGGCCTTTGGTAGGTGACAGGTCATGAGGACAGAGCCCTCATGAATGGCATTAGTGACCTTGTAAATGAGAAGCCGGAGAGCTCCCTCCTCCCCTTCTGCCACGTGAGGACACAGCCTAGAAGTCAGCATCTGAAACTGGGAAGTGGGTCTCACCAGGCATCAAATCTGCCGGCACCTTGATCTTGGGCTTTCAGCCTCCAGAACTGTGAGAAATAAATTTCTGTTGTTTTTAAGCCATCCAGTCTATGATATTTTGTTACAGCATCCCGAACAGACTCAGTCATGAAGAAAACTGTTGGAGACTTTTTTGGTAAATAAACAGCTTTTTTTTTTTTTTTTAATTTCTCCCTTCAGATAGAGGAGACTGTTGCATTTACCATGATAAAATAGTTCAACTTTTGTATCATATTTAATAGTCACAAATATTAAGGTTCAGCTTTGTGTTACCACAGCAATTTAACTGTCAATGTTACCTATATATAATCATGCAAATTCCTCCACAGAAATGGGGTAGAATCTCTGCCCTCTCCTAAATTATACAAGGATCATCATTTTCCTTCTGCTTCTAAAGAAATAAAGCTTTTTGTCTACCCAAGCACATGGGGCAAATGCCTCTAGTTTTCCCCTGAGATGTCATTTGAGCATTTCATGACTTTTTTCAGAGGCTTTTCAAAATGGATAACTTTGGTATACTCTCAAGATATAAACAACACACTTACTTTAAGGAGCTAAAAACTCAACATTTCTTAAACCAAGCTGTAGTAAAATTTCTATCATTTTACCTAGAGAGGAAAGCCTGCATCAGCAGCCCAACACCCTATGCAGTATTCCAAATCTCAACATAGCTTTTTGGGTGTGTGTAAGGGAAGTCCTTAACTTTTATATTGTTATTCAGAGCAGGTATAAGAGCCAAAATGAAGAACTAAGTTTCTAAGGTTCAAATTAAATCCAAATACGTATTTAACAACCCAGCACTGAGGTTAGCATTCACTAAGAAACAAAGCAAGAAATAAAACTTCAGTGATCCTGTTTGAACTGGAAAACTCTTCTTAAGCCATTGAAGGGAAACTTCAGAACAGCCTCCAAAACAAAATCTGGTTCTAATCCTTAATTAAAGTATAGCTACTAAACATAACCCCTGACCCCCAAAGACCACTCTCCTCATTTTAAACTATCAGGACAGGTCTTGAGCCAGAAATACCTACTATGACTGCAGTGCATGGTTTTTGCCTCATATTATAAACACTTGAGTACAGCTCTTTCTACTAATTAATAAGACTGTAAGCATCACAGAGGGGTTACACTACACCTGATCCATTTTTACATCTTCATCACCTATAAAAATGCTCCACACACAATATATACGAAAAAATTTGCTTAATCATCAAAGGAATTTCACAAAACAAGATGACAAAGCAGAGCTCTGTTAGGGCAGTATTCAGTCCTGGCTAGGTCAACATTTGTGTCCATATTTATATACAAGGACATCAATAGTAACATGATTGCATTTTCAGATAAGAATATGGAGAGATAGTAAAAAAAAATTATGTGTATTAATTTTGTTGGAAGATGACATTATACTAGTTCAAAGGTCTAATTCCAAAAATATATCTTTATATATAGCTATTGTACGTGCCCTCTGGCCCCCAAGACCACTCTCCTCCTTCTGAGCAGATTTACCATTAAATAGGCAAGACATGCCAGGTCAGGTCTTAGATCTTATTTCTTGTTCAGAAAGAAGTTTTCTATTCAAGAGAGAGCAAGGCACCAGATCATCCCAAGTTCTTGTCTATTAATTAGTCATCTTGTACTTTCTGATCCCTCATCTGTGGGACACATGGCAGAAGAGATTTAAGTTGATGAAGCCATAGCAGGGCAGTCTAAGCTCTGTTGCTGTCACTAGATTGTTAAGAGATCAAGCATGGCAAAATGGGTCCAGTTTAAAGCCAGGCAGATGGGAGTTCAAATTTGCCTTCAGTACTTTCTGGCTGGGTGGCCTTGGGCAAGGCCTCTTACAGTCTCAAAGTCTGCCTTCCCGTACCTTTGTAATGAGGATCCATCCCATGGGAATGTAAGGATTAGAGACAGCCAGTGCAGGTCCTAAAACTATAGGCATTACTAACCTCCTTTCTAACTTTCCAACAAGCTTCCCAAGGTTAGCCATGATTGACTCTGACCTCATTTCTCTAATTCTGTGAGACGTTATGCTGCAGAGCTGTTAACTGGTTTCAGAAAGGAATTGAATATGTTATTTTTCTTATTTTGTCCATTAGTTTATATAGCAAGTTAAGATATCAGCACAATGCTCATAGCTGTTCCAGATCATCCCAAATGGTTGTCAACTGGGGAGGGGACCACCCATTCAGTCCAAGTCAGAGGATCCTGTTAAACTCTAATAGTCTTTGGTATGAATTTTGTAACGCTTAAAAAATAAACTTGGGCTTCCCTGGTGGCGCAGTGGTTGAGAGTCCGCCTGCCGATGCAGGGGACAGGGTTCGTGCCCCAGTCCGGGAAGATCCCACATGCCACGGAGCGGCGGGGCCCGTGAGCCATGGCCGCTGAGCCTGCGCGTCCGGAGCCTGTGCTGCGCAACGAGAGAGGCCACAACGGTGAGAGGCCTGAGTACCGCCAAAAAAATAAAAATAAAAATAAACTGTACAAGCAATGTAGCGACATCTCTGAAAATTTATAATACTGAGAAAAGGGGGGGAAAATCACTTAATCCACATTCCACAGTTCCAGCCCCATCATTTTAGCCTCTTCCCCCTCCCTGTTACTCCCTCCCCTCCCCCCCATCATGAGGCCTGAAGGAGCCTGTGCCAGCGTGACCAATCCAGAGCAAGCACCTGGGTCTCTGGCTTTCCACCTCAAAAGCAAGCACGCGCTAAGACTTGGAAACCAGGAGATCTCCTTGTAATCTCGACACCTTGACTAAATAAGAGATAATCTGGACCAGCCTATCTCCCTTAGTGAGCACAGTCTGAATTTCCATCGCTTGTAAAATCATTAAAGCACTAAGAGCAGTTTCCCCTCAAACAGTAATAATAATTCTCATTTTCCAAATTATGCATCAACTTTTTGGGAAACCTGTCATTAGAGGATTTTCTGTCTGCCGACCTTTGCTTGCACATCTTGGAAGTGTTTTATTAAGTAGGGCATCTTGTTCAAATACAGGACACTGCTACTGTCTCCCATGCGGTTTTGCAGTTCTAGTTACAAGCATGATACACACGCAATTTATGACTCTTTGGGTCTTCGATGTGGCTACACATTTGTCCTTTACCACTGCCATCCTTTTTCCTAAGTGAACCACCAGATTTAAGTGAATCAGATACTGCTACTTCTTACAATTTGGTACAATTCAGAAAAGCAGTTTTTAGAAATGCTTTTTTCATAGATTGTAAGGGATAGAATGATATAAATCTCAAAACAATAAAATGAATGCATGGTTTTTAAAAAGAAGTGATCAAACATTTTAGCAGGTTTTTTAATATTTAAACTCCCACTTGCTAGTCTACTACTAGAAATTCTAACTTTTGATTGGTTAAAAAGACTAAAATCAGCAGTGCTCCATCCCCTAATTTCCACGAAAAAAGTGACTAATTACTTCTGAAAGATCTTCACAGCTCATTAGTGATCTGTTTAAGGCTATCATACTTACAGTCTACACAATGTTTTTTTGTTTGGCAAATCCTGGTGATATTAACATAGCCATAAATATATACAAAAAGACAAGTGTATTTCTAGGGCCTGCTATTATTCTTTGTCGAGATATTAATAGTTTAAAAATTTGTATTTGATGCCTGAGAAAATTTTCAAGGAATCCACACAATTTAACTCTGATAGTTTAGTCCAGCTATTCAGAGGAAAGGGAAGCAAGAGGTTGTTGTTTTGATTTTTTGTTTGTTTGTTTTTTTTTAAACTGAACTTGAGCTTAATCTCAGGATCCAAATGTTCCAAGTTCAAATAAATCCCCCACATGCCGGCTTGCTCCTTTGCCAAATCTGAACAGCTGAAAGCAAGTGCCGACTTGTGCCTACAAACAGGTAAACTAGCAGAAAATAAATCACCAAGTGACATAAAGGCAACACCCAGAATCCAACCCCCATTAACCTTAAAGGTAATGTAAACAAAATGGTACCTGTTCTTCGTCTTTTTGGTTTCTCAGCATCGATAAATATTTTCTAATTGCATGGAGGGGATATTTTTTGAAATAAGAGAATCTTGACTGAGGCAACAGATTATCCATGGTGAGGAAAGCACGAAGAGCCTTATTTGCCCCTCCCTGTCAGAAACCACATGAAATCTAGAAGCTGCACAATTCCTCAGATGCCTAGAGATTTGCTTGTAGCTTGACCACTTTGCTGCAAACAAAGCAGACCTTCTCCGCGCTGCTTCCTCTTTTGGGTAGAGTTCTTGGTGAAAGCAGACAGCCACGTCCCAACGCTGTCCTAAAAGCATCCAGAAATGCAATGCCCAGAGGGCAGCAGGAGCCAGGAAGAATCCAGGGGCTGGTCCGCCGAATGCAAATTGCTTAGTGGTAGTGGTGCGACTGTCCTATTTCTAGCAACAGCATTCTGTTGCAAGCTATGTTAATATTAGGTAGCTGGTGACTTTCCACACCCACAGACTCTCATGAGGTTTAATCTTAATTCTTCTGACAGCTTTTCTAGCTCTTAAAGAGGACATGACATGTGTTTCTTTCCTGTTTCCTTCCAGAATTCTTATCAGCATGAGCACACACAGACAACCCTCAGCAGCATCTCAGCTCTAAAGTGTTGAATCATTCAGCCTTGAGAAGCACTGTTTCAGGGGATTTCTAAAAAAAATTAACAAATTACTTCACTCTTCATTGTTACCAAGGAGTTCAATGTCAGCACTTAAAACGGTAGGTTTACACTGTCATGCATTATGCAACATGCCCAGTAACCAGATACTTTACGTCAATTGAACAATAGCTGCAAACAGATTCTGTTCTGAGTTAAAAGGCTTCTCTCCAAGAATCCTTATCGCAAAGTCACAGGCTGAATCCAGGAATATTAAATTTCCCCAGGCTTTATTCTGAGTTTAAGGAAGAAAAAAATGTTATACATGTACTTTCTAACTGCTATAAAAAGGATTCATGCTTTAAAAAACAGAACATGATAAGAGGTCTGTGGTCTTAGAGGACATGAAATCATAAAATTTGAAAGTTCAATATTTTCTTAATACTCCATAGAAGTCACAAGGTTTCTGAACAAAGTCCCCAAGTAGGCTTTGCTATTTTATTACCCTTTTTAACTTTGCAGTAGCTGGTTTATTTGATGAAACATTTGGCCACTTCTGTGAGGGGCTGTCATGTAGAGTCCAGGTGTACATCAGCCAAAAATCATGAGGCCCAGAGATTTGCTTTCAAGTGGAAAAGGAGAGCTGGTCTTTTCCCCTTCAGAGGTAGCACTGCAGACTTGGGTGTAGCGGACAAGCAGAGCTTGGGGAACCAATGTTGCAGCCTGCGCCATCCCCCGAACAGCTTCCCTGACACCCTGGCTGGGCCACTTGCCTTCAGGGAACACACTTGATCAGCTAGCATGGGCTGTGCTGTGAGTAGCCCAGGACATCTGTCAGACTGGCCTCAGCCCACTTGCAAGGTGATCTTCCAGCCTCATCAGGGCCAGGCTGGAAATTCCGAGAAGTCCTCTGCATAATGCTGCTGGGGCCGGCTCCTCAGAGGAGGCCCTGCCCTCCTGCCCCCTCTCCAGGCACACAGCCACATGCTGACTGACAGAGGCTCTGGCAGCCCTGCTCCTCCGTAGGCTGAGGACAGCCAGCTCTAATGAGGGTCCCAGAGAAGCACTGTGCTTTCAAGCCACCAGAATGCTAAGGGCACGTGTTGTGCCCTCCCTGCCAGCTCTGGCCTGGGAAAAGGGGTGGCCCTCAGGGCATTGGGAACAGGCAGAGATCCATTTATACACACGCTCCAGGAAGCCACAAGCTGCCCTTTTGATTCTCTTTTTGAAAATATCTAAAACTTCAGAGCCGCCTCTTATCATGGGCAGAGCCACACCCTCACAGCACGGCTGGTGATCAAAGCCTCTTCCCAGTAGAGCAGCACAAAGCAGACCTCATTTCAAGTCATTGTTTCACGGTCACCTTTTCCTGGGTTGAGGAGAGTGATGAAAAGAGATGACGAGGGAGGAAAAAAAAAACCTAAACCCAAAACTCTATCCTGACTAGCATAAAAAGCATAAAAAGAAAAACTGGTGAAACAAATGCAACTAAAATTCCCTTAGGGGTTTAGTTGGTAATAAATACAAATCGTGTCTAATATTTACCGGGCCTTTGGGCCAGGTGCTGTGCTAGATTCCTTACATGTATTATCTCATGTAATCCTATAGCACCCTCTGGGGCAACTGAGGCTCAGAGAGGGTAAACAACTTGCCAAGGTCACACAGCTACAAAGCAGAGAAGGGATTCCAACCAAACAGCCCTACCCCAGAGTCTCGGTTCCAGATCAGTACAATGCACAGCCTCTCAGCCATCATCCAGAAATGGATTCCTGAGGACCCCTCTAAGGATTAACCTGAAGAAGGAAAGGTGTGGATATGGCCTGTTAAAAGAAAATACAAATGTTGATGATGGGAATTTACAGACCAAGATGATTAGGTTAGAGGCCAGGTGCACCTTCACAAAAAATCATGCAACTTCCTCTCCTGGATTCTCTATAAATAAGGCTAATACTCATTATTTACCTCTTAAAGATTCCTTTATGAAATGATTCTAGTGATCTTGAAGAGTTTGTATCCGTAGACATAGGTTTTCTGCTTCCCAAATTTGGAAAACTGCTGTAATCTCAGTTTCTGTTTGATATAGGTTGCAGTGGTCCATTTATCTCAATATTGAACACAAATATGATGTGGGATTTTATACACCCGGTTTCTCAGGCGAGTGTCATCATCCCTTTGTTTTCACAGTGTGGCCACCTCTGCACCTCCACCTGGAGGGGCGCCGTGTTGATTGCCACTGTGACTCAGCTGCCTTGGCAAAAGGCAGTCGGCCAGAGTGCTGGTATCTGCAGTGTGTGTCTGCAAGGACAAGAAGAGCTCAGTGTAGCTGCCTCAGGCAATAAGAGGTTTATCCTGCCCCCTGCAAAGTACACAGTAAAGAGCAGAATGATGACCTGTTATTTGTACAGCTCCCTCCCACCCCTTGTCCTCTATTCAATAGAAAAATAACCAGCAGAAACCACAAACCCAGGAAAGCCACCGATGGAGGCTGCAGTCCCACTGGGAAAGAATATTCATGTGTTCCCTTTGATTTCTAAGAATTACCTGCTTTTTCACAAGTAGCTTAAAATACGGGGAATCTCAATCTCTTCACTTGAAGAGCAATATAAAGAGGCAAAACCAAAGCCAGAAAAAATAGTTACAAGGGGGTGAAGAGAGAGATTTTACAGTTTACTCCTTTGCAAATGTTGAAGAAGATGGGATGAAAATGTGGGTTTGTGAAGCCACCTAACACCATGCGTTGCACACAGTAGGTATTTCATTAATGCATGCCAATGTATATTTATTAAAGGGGAAAGGCAAAGAGGAAAGAATGGGACCTAAGTATCAAATTTAGGATGAGAAAAAGGAAAGGAAAACAGAAAACTTGTCTCTAGGGTACCTTTAAGTTGGCCGAGTTTCTAAATTGCATCAGGACAAAAACTAAAACCCCATTAATCCCCTTCTCTTTTTCTTTCCCATCAGAGCTGAGAGTTTCCATCAAGAAAATGGTTCCATTCTCTGAGAATTAATCCAGCCCAGATATCAAGTGAAGGGCAGGCAATTAAGATGATGGAGAAGCAGCTAGCCCAGGAAACAGAAACCATTTTTCATTATGAATCTCACTGAGAAATCACTCTCTTCCCACTAGGTCTGTGGAAACTGGCCCAGCCTCCTGATCCCCCAAGGACAGTTTTAAATGAAATCAGGAGAGGAGAGGGAGACATTTACCGCTGATCATGCAGCACCAACATTCTGCTTTTTTGTGCCACTAAAGCACTTGTGCTAGTTCCTATGACATTTTCTCAGTGCCCCCACCATGTAGGGGGTAATTATATTTGCATATGGTGCATTTTTACTTTCCCAGAATGCATGTCCAACCCCCCCACCCATGTTCCTATTATAACCGCCGTTCAACCCTCATTGATGTTTCTAGCTGCTCTATGAGCTACACAACTTTTATGACTTCTGCTTCCCAGTTTCAAGGATTGATTTCGCAGATTTAACAATAACTGGGAATTCCCTGGTGGTCCAGTGGTTAGGACTCAGCGCTTTCACCGCTGTGGCCCAGGTTTAATCCCTGGTCGGAGGAACTAAGATCCTGCACGCCACGCGCTCAGCCAAAAAACAAACAAAAAAACCCACCGATAACAGTACGCATGGGACACTTGTCCTCTGCATCTTTAGGACAAACTTGAACATGCCTCAGAATCACCTGGAGGGCATGTGAAAGGCCAGATTGCTGGCCCCTCCCTCAGAGTTTCTGAGACAGGAGGTATGGGGTAAGGAGCAAGAGTTTGCATCTGTAACAACTTGCCTGGTGAAGCTGATACTGCTGGTCTGGGGACCTCACCCTGAGAACCATTGGTTTGGGTGCTGTCAGGTAGGCATAGCTGCAGAGGGATTCTCAGGTGGTTTCAAGGACAAATACCCTGTTTGCTGAAGCACTTTGAGAGCGCCCATCAGATCCACATCTTACAATGCACTCCCCTGGTGGTGGTGGTTTTCCCTGGACCCATCTCTTTCCTTGTAGCCACTCTTCCACAAGGGAGCCCCTGCGCATGGCAAGTTCCAAATGGGCCTCCCACCAAGTTCTGTCTCCTCAGTCGTATCTTGACTTGATGTCGAGTTTCTCTTAAACTCTCTCTCAGCTCTTCTTACCAAGTCACGGGGGTCATTAACAGTATTCTCAGCTCAGAGATCAACTCTCTCTAAGCCCAGGGCCAGAAGCCACAGCCAGCTCTACCCAACACTCCCTCCTTCCCTCTTCTGCCTCTGACACCTTGTTTCCTTACAGCTGGGGAAGGAGGAATCTCACTTGGATCAGGAGCCCATCCCACCAAGAACCTCCCAAATCTCAGTCTTCCTCAAACCCGCCCCAACTCTGTCTTCAGTGCAACTCTGTTTGGGGATGGATCCTCCCCTAACCCTGTCTCCTCTCATCCAGTCTTGAGTTTTCTCTCAGGATTTAACTGAAAACCATTCTTTTGTCAGAAACATAACACATCCCCAGCAAGCTTACTGTTCCTGGTGGGTTTGGGGCTGGGTCTCTGGAGCTGTGTCACCTTCTCCTCTGGACATGGTTTCCTTCTAGCCTCCCCTTGGCCACCATGCTTTGCTCCTTCTGAGAGGATGAGTACGAACCCAGGAGAAGAAGAAAGAGGAGAGCAGGGATGGGCCAACCCTGAGGAACTTTCAAATTGGTGGTTTTATACACAATTATAAGTTTATAATTGTGTATAAAACTAATAATGTGGTTTTAGAAATAAGGAAAATATACACTTTCCTTAAGTAAAATAGTTCTGCTAAGTAGGAGGCTGGAGGGATGGGTGGGTGGGGCAGGATAATGTGTTCCCCTCTAACGCCTGGTGGTTGGAAAATTAAGGATGTAACTGAAAGCAGATGTAT